CTACTGCTACTACAGCTGCTACTACTACTACTGCTGCTGCTACTGCTGCTCCTACTCCTACTCCTGCTCCTACTCCTGCTCCTACTCCTACTCCTACTCCTACTCCTACTCCTACTCCTACTCCTACTCCTACTACTACTACTACTTTACTACTACTACTTTACTACTACTACTACTACTACTACTACTACTACTACTAGTAACGAGTACTTAGTAATACTACTACATCAAACACTACTACTACTACTACTACTACTACTACTACTACTGCTACTGGCGGGTCGTCATCCTCTTATCAAACTATATATACGCAAACTTCAGTCGAAATATCAGATGCAGAGTGTACATGTCGCACATGGTTTCATAAGATATTTTTGGCTATACCCATGATGTCCCATTCGAAGAATGAGCCAAGCTGCCGGTAAATGGGTTGTATTTGCATGCGGAGGCCGTGCATGGAAGTAGATTTTCATAGATTTTCAATCTTCCGCTTCGAGCAGGAGAACCCCCAACATGACAGGACCAGTACACATACACATATTACACATACACACAGACATATACACTGCCAGACACCCTTGAACAGATGCATGTGCTGTATATATATATATATATGTGTGTGTGTATACATACATAGTTATACACTTATATACATAATTATGCATGCGCATCTTCTCAGATAACTTACTATATTCAAGTGTCTCCCAATCTAGTTTGGCACTCCTTTTTCCATCGATCTTCGATTCTGCTTCTATTTGGGCGCATGCTCCTTCGAAGCTGCGAGACACGCCCCTAAACCGAATGTCCTGCATATTCTGCAGGTGTTCGCGACCTTGGCAGACAAGAGTGGTTGAACTCTGGGATCCTTTTTTGGGCTTGATTTTCGTCAGACAAGCTACGCAGCTGAGGGAGGCAACATCAAAGAGCTGCACCTGCAGCTCCGGAACAGCCACCTCGACCCCAATACCGGACCATAGGCATCAGCCACCAAAGCCCAGGATTCCTAAGTCCTAAACTCTAAGCCAAGGATCTCTCGGATGTTCGAAAACCGTGGCCGTCGTGGACCGAGGTGAAGTGGACTAGCCTGGAGCTGACACTGTTTGAGTTTTAGCTAGTGACCACAAGGAGTAGTGGCAATTGTATTCAAGTCGTTCGATGCATTTTCCTACCCCTTTTTGCAACTCTAAAGACCCTTACAGTGCCCCTATATTACATGAAACCACAACTTCTGTGTCTGGGTTCTGACCCAAGCTTCCACCCGGGGGCCGGCCGAGATCGGAAATGGCTCGATGACACAGAAGCCGCACTTGAGAAACGGTTTTGGAGCCCAAGAGCGGGCACTCTTGCACACACAAAAGGCACTTCTCCTGTGTTGTTTTGCCTCTCACCTAGCTAGGACTTCTCCGGTCTAGGGGTCGCTACACCTAAACCCTGAATCCTAATGAAACATCATTCTCAGCCCAGTGCCCGCCAGCCGGTCGGGGATGCAACAAGTGGCCTCCTGGGGCGATGCAAAACGGAAGTCTGGGTACGACTGAGGGGTTTGATTTGTAGAACCTCCGGTCCTTTATTGCTTTCGCAGAGGTCCTGGGGTTTATCGGTTTCGGCCAAGCTTTAGAGCTCATTTCGGCTTCTCTTGAAGGGGGGGTCTTGTGGGCTGAATGCTCGGAGACTGGCTTGCGGCTGAAGTCGGGCTGGAGATGGTCGAAGCAAAAATCTTGGATCTCAAGCTTTGCATGCTGAGATCTTCAGATTGTGGTTTTGGGGTCGAGACCCGAATCCCTAAACCCGAAACCCAAAGCCCTCAAGCCCATAGCCATGACCTTTTACACCGGCGGGGCCTTGCAGTATCGACTGGACAAGCAGTATATAAGGTTTCACGGGAGTTTAGAGGGTCCTGAAGGGTTCTATGCGGGTTGCTATCGGGCCATCTCTAGAGTTATACTTAGAATTGGGGTTTGTGGGTACGTTGTAGCAGCCAAATACATCAACTAGTTACTCTAAGGTTAGATTTTATTATTGCTGCTAGCAACCCGGGACCATAAACCCACAGTCATAGCTTCTTCGAGCCCCTAGGTTCCCTCCGACGTCCCTTTAATGATAAGGGTCCCGTACCCGTTGCTCCGTTATTCGGCCTGATTCTGCGAACGCCCGGAACCCCTAAACAGGTATATCCCAAAATATATTATATGATGTATCTGTTCATACTATATACTGTAGGTTACATGTTACAACCTTTTTTTTGCTAGGGTACTACTGGCGAACCTAGGTGCGCAGCCTGTAGGGCCGAAAGCCTCAAACGCGAAATCTTGAATCCTGAACTCGACACAGGCCCTCGAAGAACCCGCCCAAACCTGCAATTCCATTAGTTACGTCATCAGCTTGCTCATTACTCTATACTATTATTCATTATTGGACGAAAAGTTGCAATTTTCAATCTGTATTGTTACTCTTTAGAATAAGAAAACTCTACCTCTTAACACAACTGAACGGCTTTGGGGGCCAAGTCACGAATTCACTCGAGGCCTTCGCCCCAAGTTTGCCCAAGGCCGCCTGCCTATAGGGCTGGTACTTCCAAAGACTCATAGACGTTGATAGACGCTGGAATTCACATTTTTCCATCCGAAATAAAACTTGTGAGGTTCAGCTTTGAAAAAAATCAAAAGCTGCTTGCGTTGCGGAATCTGATTAACCGGGCTTAGGATCCGGGGTTTAGGGTTCAGGGGTGCGGGGTGTGTGGCTGAGGGGGCAGGGAGGGCAAAGGGGCCATCTGGAGGTGAGATCTCGGGATTCACAGGTGACTGTCTCGAAGAACTAAAGCATCTTTATTAATCTAAGGGCCTCAATTCATAATTAGAATAGGGCTCGGCGTATATTGTACTATAATGACTATAACAAGGAACCCCCAACACCCTATTTTAATTGTTAAAGCCCCTACATTAATTAGAGGTTCAGAGTAGACGGGTACAGATTATGCAGAGGCACTCAGAATGTCGCGGCAGCGGTGGCTGCTCCGTCGGTGGATGCCTGCCATTTTCAGCGAGCCTTTGGTCCTAATAATTAGATAATTTAAGGATTATCATAGGATTAGTATAGGATTAAGAAACCCACCCTCCCCCTAGACCCCCTCCTAACACTTCCTGATGATTGTGAAGTCGGATACGAGGTCTGCGCTCGAGCCCTGGGATGCAGAGAAGGATGTTGTCGAACATGCGCAGCACGCACTCGCAAAAGTTCACTCATGGAAGGCACTTCGCAAGCTGGACCCAAGAGGCTCTGAACAATGCAGGCAACAGAAATTCAGAAAGGAACCAACGTCCCACGCATACAGACTCCCACTGAGGTCACAGCGGACGCACCGGCAGGCGATTCCGACACAACCCGACCTCGGCTTTCAGCATTCACGACCCTTTGAAGAGTAGCCTTGCGCGCTAATTTTGGCAAATGGAGGGTTTAGGGCTTAGGGGCAACGGAAGCCTGAAGAAGCTTGTTCTGTAGTGGGTAATGGCAATGGCGCCTTCCCACTCCGTGTGCCAGCTTTTCACATCAGCGGTTCTCATCACTTCGGGCTTGCTTTGGGTTTACGTGTATACTGTATACGTGCATAGAGGGTTGACATGCTCTACTGCATGAAACATTCAGGCAACTGGTCGGCGTCGTGCTCTTCACGCCCAGCACACAAGAGCGAGTAACAAGAAGTGTCCCCAGTACGATTCCAAGG